TGGTGATAGTGGACATCCTTGTCTTGTTCCTGATTTTAGTGTGAAGGATTTCAGTTTTTGACCATTTAGTATGATATTGGCTGTTGGTTTTTCATGGATGGCTTTTTTCAGGCTGAGATAAAGATCATCTATTCCAACTTTTTGTAGGGTTTTTATCATGAATTCATGTTGGATTTTGTTGAACACTTTTTCTGCATTTATTGAGATGATCATATGTTTTTTGTCCTGGCTCTATTAATATAGCATATTAGATTCATTGATTTGTGTATGTTGAACCATCCCTGCATCCCTGGGATGAATCTCACTTGGTTAGGGTGTATGATCTTCTTGATGATCTTCTGCATTCTGTTTGCCAGTATCTTATTGAGGATTTTTGTGTCTATATTCATTAGGGAGATTGGCATACATTTCTCTTTTTTAGTTGGGTCTTTCTCTGCTTTTGTGATCAAGGTGATGTTTGCTTCCAAGAATGAATTTGGGAGTATTGCTTCCCTTTCAATTTCATCACCTCTCAATACATTCAAATGTATTCTGTCAGCCCCATCTTCTCATTGTGAAAAGTCCTTGGAACACTATCATCCTTTTCTGAACTGGGGTTGCTCTGTGGTTTGTTTCAGAACTATTTTTTGTGGATTTTTATTATTTAATGGAAATATTTTGTAATTTTAAGATGATTTTAAATATAAACAATAAAATGAAACATTTACTTATAGAGAATATAATATAAAACAATTTCAAAACTATTGTGTTTTTTAAAAAGATATTTAACAGTATGTAGATAATATTTCTATTAGTGTAAAAATTGTGAGTATGTCTATGTAGTATATAAACACATGATTTTATATATATATATCTTTTCATATTACATAGAGTACACAGAGAGCTATTTATAATATATAAAATACACTATATGTAGTTGATATAGCTATATGTAGTGTATATAAACATATATGGGAATCTATGTAAAATCTGATAATTGTTGTCACTCTAAAGAGGCATTAGGGGACTGAAGTTCAGCATAGATGAGAGAAATTTTCTTCATACATTTATCAATGTGTTTATTGTTTGCTTTTAAAATCATATATACATTACTTTTTTGGAAAATAACACCACATAAAATTCTTTAACTGTTAAGCTTTAGAGCTAGTACAATCTACTAAAATAACTAGAATCTATTTTGACTGTCACTGTCAGCCTTTTTAAAGAAATCGTGAAGAATAAAACAAGTGCTGTGGCAGTTGAAGAGAGATGAAAAAAGACTTAGGGTGAAAACCGAGACCAATGAAGAGGCCCTCTCATTAATCCAGATAGAGATGGTGGCTTGGGGCATGGATATTGCATTGGAGGTGACGAAAGATGGCCAGCATTGGGAAAAACAGGATGAAAGGTACAAGTGTGGGTACGGACTAATGAAGTCACATACACATTACATTTTATTGACAATGGAATTTCTGTCTGTACACAGAATATGAATTACAAATGGATATTAACTACACAAAGCCCAGTTGAACTTATAAAAAGTTACTTCAACAGGTTTTGTGTTATATAGCTTAGTGAAAGGAAAATGCAGTTACTTAGCACCACTTCAGAATAGCTGCTTTAAGTGTAGACACATATGCACAAAGACATCACATCACCATCATCATCATCATACATAACCAAATAGTAAGTCTCCAAACAAAGTCAATAACTGACTTACAGAATAAATATTAGAGTTTCTTATAAAGTAGTGGTTGACAGCAAATTTTAAAAGCAGCTGAGAGATCAGCAAAATTGTAAGAAAGTCTAACATATTTTGAAGTTGGATGTGACTTTTAGCAACATATAAATGGGTTAAAAAATGTGAGTCTTATTCACATTATAAATGAAAACACCAGTGAAGTGCAATTTCAAATAATTAAGAACTTTTAGTTCATGATAAAGAGGCCAAGATATCCCCATAAACATTCTTAGAATTGCAAAGGGGAGGCACTCATCTCTAGTGAAGGGCAGATGTGGCCCCAGGCCTGTTAATCACAAGCATCAGCATCACAGAGATGGGCCTATCAGCTTCCTGGGGGTTTTGTTTCCGCCTCAGCTACATAGTTGAGGGAGGGAGTTTATTTCTAGCAGCCTGTAATGGACTTTTCCACTGAAAAAGAAATTAAACCACCTTAAAACTACCTGCTTTAAAGAAACATTGAGAATATAATAAAAATTAAGCCTGTTAAATATATGCACTTTTTACTTCCCCGTATAATACCATAGTTTAGAAATAATCTGTATTGTTGCTGTGGAAATCTGGTCACAGAATCTCAGCATGTTGTTTAAAAATTTGAAAATGAATCATCAAACAATTTTATATATATATACATATATATATACACATATATACATATATATATACATATTCCTAAAATAATTTTTAAATGTCCCTGAATTTGGGTTAAATATGATTCACCACTACCAGTTAAAATATCTTACTCTGATATTTTAAGAATTAAGAATTTGACCATGAGAAAAATGACAAAAAGATTGCATTTTTTTCCAGCTGTTCTGTTTCATATGAAGTCAATGCAAACAAAGTGAAAAGTAAATACCTTGCCATACTATAAAGACAGGAAAGATAAAGAAAATAAGTAAAGCTACCATATTATTTATTATGAAGCTAGTGCTCCAAGTTAAGGATTTTTTTCTTTTTGAAGAGACCATTGAAGAACTATAGCAAAACAACATCATCAAGTCTCAACTTGATTCAACCAACTTGAAGAAGTCTGGACAGTTTTCTTACCTTCTGTTTAACTTTAATTTGTGTTTAATGTTTTATTTGTACAGTTGACAACTAAGAAAACAATGGTTCTCTCTAGGATGTTAATATATCATCTAAAGTTTTTTGAAAAGTGAAAAAAAAAGAAGAAAATAAGTAAAACTGAAAATATACCATGGAAGAGCATCTTTTCTCTATTTCATTGATGGATGTATATGCTGTCATCTCATTAACTCTTTTCTGTCTGCATCAGGAAGGCTACTTTGTAGATTTCTACATGAATACTGCACCAGGTATCTTACAAATCCTACTTGTCTTCAAGTTACAAGGAAAATCATTCCAACCCCATATGTCTCGGTCATGAACAAGGACAGCACAATCTTCTTTCTGAATATTATTGAGTTCATTCTCATGCCAAAGTCTGAAAGAAAGAGTATGTATGCCAATATCTATAAGAAATAATACACATAGACATAGATTATAAATAGATATAGAAATATATAGATATAGAAAGACACAGATATCAGGGGAAAATCCCAAGAAAATGCTCCTATCAACAATTAGAAGCAGCATTGTTCATAAAAGAGTCACTGAATGCATGTGACCATTTTGCACTTGAAATGTAGCTTTTTTGTATTGAAGTACACTCCAAGTGTTAAGTGCACATTATATTTCAAAGACTTAACACACAAAAAAAGATGTAAAACACATCAATAATTTTATATTGTACATCATTAATATAAATCTCACGTCTCTTACTAGTAAAAAATATCGTTACACTTATAGTTTTGTTACTTTTATATTACATAATATTGGTTTCAAAGAAGAAAATAACAAGTTTATGAATGTATTTAAAAAATGACAAATATTTATGGTGTCTTTATCTAAATGTCAAGCTTAAGAAAATTTTTGCACATCTCCCTTAAGCTATCCATTCTCTAATCAACATTATACAAGCAAGAATATTGAAAACTTCCCTGAAGTCACAGGATTATTCTACAATTGGGACATAATACACACAGGTTACCTCAGTCTTAATGAATTCTTGCTACCTTTGCCTATATGTGCTTACAAATTCTCTTAGTTTCAATCAATATACTCACGCCTTACGTGGGTTAAATGGTGTCCCATCTATCCAGCGCCACTGACCTCTCGCGTTTTCACTTTTAAGTCCAATGAGATATGAAAATATTTCATTCAGAATTTTAGTTGTGAAGTTCTGCATCCAAACATAAACTTTTATAAGTATATTTGCACTTAGGTGATGGTTGTTATATTGAAAAGAGGAAATGAGATCGGTAGATTACTGCTTTGGGATTAGGTCCATTTTCAAATTTTGCTTGTAAAGTTAATTAGTGCTTTGATCTCACCAAACCCTCAGTTTTCTCATCTCCAGAGAGTATAAGTCCACTATTTCCTAGAGTTATTGTGAAGATTAAGTGCTATCATACTTGCAACCCTCTTAGCACATGCTGGAAAGGATGGCATTTTAAAGGGGCTTTTGTGTTTTAAATCGCCTTCTTTAACTATTTGTACATTTCATTAAGTTGTGTTTTATTTGAAGAGTTGTCAAATATGTAGGCAGCAAAGCCTTGGAAATAGTCCTTGAGGTTACTCTATTAAGTGGGAAAAGAGTAGACTCTGAATCCTGGTACATCCCACATAGAAGTATCTTACATGAGGAGATAAATTTCAGCTTTTGATAAATTTAATTTACCTTTAGGTTTCCTTATTTTGAAATACAACCATACATCTGAGCTATTTTTCTTATACTTTATTCTGAGAAGCTATTCACTCACATAGCAGAGAAAGTTACCACTTCCTGTCCAGTGTGTCTGGCTGTGCCCAAGACACTGGCTTTGCAAAGATGAGTAAAATATAGCCCCGTCATTGGAAGAGATGCCACACAAAGAGTAAATGCCGCAATTTCTCTGTGGAGAAAAAGCCACAGCAGTACCTATAACTTAGAATAGGGCAGCCAGCAAATAGGGCAGGTGGTCAGGATAGCTTTCTGGAGGAAATAACACGTGAATGAAATCTGGAAAGACCAGAAGAATTCAGTAACACATAGAAAATTAATTTTCTAACATGTAAAGTATGTTTGCTTTTACATACAAAATATGTATCTTGCTATATAATTCCTATGTATGTATGTTTCCATTATCAGAAAATTGGCAAATTACACTACAATATATATTGGGCTTTGCTATTTATGAAAGATGCCACTGAAAAGGAAAAGGAAAACCGGGACAGAGAAAGGGAGAGAGAAACAGATGGAAGGAAGAGAAAAATAGAGAAGGAAGAAAAAGCTTTCCAAGGGATGGAACGGATGAAATGCAAGGGGCAGATCTTCACCGGAGCGGAGAAATGCTCTCTCCACAAAGAGATTCAAAGCATCAGAGAAAGTGGGGGTGCCCTGTACCCTCCAACGCACCTGCTCTGCGTCAGACACGATGCTGGCCAGGTGGGCCCCCATCCCGGAGCAGTTCCTCTCACTGTCAGCCCAGGTCATGTTGTCGTTAAAAGGAAAAAAGCAGTTGGACTGGGAGGCTCTCCAGCCGGCAGGACAGCAATTCCAGGTATCTCCTTGGGTGAAAATGGAAATGGAAATGACGCAGTTAGGAGAGCACAATTAATCTGTGAAGGATCACATAACAATTTGATTACTCAGTGTCCAGCTGTGGAACTGACACCTGCATAACCAAAATCACTGTCTCTTACCCATTACAATGTCTCCAAAAGTTTATCTCTAAACAGAAGTATCTGAAATCATATAAAACTGGAAAAATATGAAGTATTTACTTAGAAACCATGATCATTATTCAATGTCTACATCTATTTACTTTCATGTTTAAAGTGTTTCTTTAACAGAGCCTTTTGTAGGGCAATTTATCTGAAGGAGGCAAGAATCTGCTAAAGCTCAACATTTCCCCATTCTCTCAAATGAGACATCTTTACAGATTCCAGAATAATAAAACACGTAAAGACATCTTAGCAAAGCTATATATTCTACAAGGAAACTGTTCTTACCACACACTGGGAAAATGGAGTTAAGTTCATACTATGCTTTGGATGTTCAAAATAGTCTATAAAGGTGTTAAGTTATATTCTCCAGGTGTTATGCCTGTGCCAAGTTTGGTTTTATGCTATATTATTCTTTTCTTGTTCACTACTGACATTCTTTAAATTGAATTATGAATTTGAATGGAAATAGAAATAAATTCTCTTATGCTCTCAGCTGGCTGTACCTTTCTGTCCTGATGTCTGCCGGATGCACGTCAACTTCCTGTGGTACTCTGGCAACTTAAACATATTTGTTCCTCTCCTACAGCATACAAAGTTGTGATGAGTCACTATGAAGAAGGAAAAAAAAATGTTATTTTCGCTTTACGGGTAACCACTTAATTAGGGAAAGGAGGGGAATCTTTCTAACTTTATTTTCACCTTATTAGTTAAGACTCCCACATTCTCTTCTCTTTCTATGTAGTTCTTTGTTCCAGCTCCAGGTAAAACATATTTTTGAAAACTAATACTTTTATTTCATAGTATCTACTTGGGGCTGTGTATGGGATGTTTACAAACTTTTAGATGCATGTGATTTTAAGTATATTTTTCTGTCAAAATTTAGAATGGAGAAGTTCTTGTGATCACTGGGATAGTTCAACAAAGTTTTATGAGCCTTATAAATGTATTACATTTTCACTTTGAAATACAACTAAATGTAAAAAGCAAAGAAAACTATGAACACAGGTTAGTAAGCTTTTGTAGTACAAACACACTGGGTAACAATTGCTGGTTCAAGAAACAGAATACTGCAAACAGTCCTGGTGACTCTCATACATCCGATACACCCCACTCTTCTTCCACAAGTAACCATTACATGCTTTTAATATATTCACCTTGTCCTTTGCTTCAAAATATTGTGACTTAATAAAATATTCCCAAACCACATATATCAGATTTTCCTGCTTTGGAATTTTCTATAAATGAAATCATATAATATGTATTACTTTTGTTCTGTCTTCTGTCCAACATTGTTTCTAAAATGTATCCATCTTGTTATATGCAGGTATATATAATTTATATTTTCACTGCTGTAAAGTGATCTATTTTCTTCCCACAGTGAAACATATTATTATTGAGAACTAAGTTAAATAGAAATTAATAGACAGAGAGGGAATGGGCCAACAAGGAAGTCACACCCAAACCTTCCTAGAGATAAACATCAATTTGAGATTACACTGTAATTAGCACCACCTGATCCAGTGAGCCCACATAGACATCGGACACACAGTGACCAGAACGTCTGGACCCATACTCCCATTCCTTTCCAGGACAGTCTGTTCTTTCTATGATAACAAATTATAGATAAGCTGAAGTTAATGATGCTTGCCTTCGTGCCTCGTTTCCCTGTTGGATCAATACTAGCTAAGGGACTTTACTTGCAATCCTATCGGTTGACTACAGCTTGACCCATGTTATACCCACAATGTGACTTTGCTGTATAAATTACCCTTGACAAATTGCCTCAGTGCCACAGACTCAGGACCCCAGTGGAAATCCAGGAGCAATTCTTCTTCCTGATAAAACTCTCTTAACCTCCTTCTTTGGTTCACAGCTTCATTCCTCGACTTTGTGAGACCATGAATGCAGCATATCTGACATCTAGAGTATTGGAAGCTATTTTCCCCATGACAATATTGATATTCTTCTAGCATTTGTGTGGAATGCTTCTAGTGTTTGGCTAATGTGAACTGCTACTCTGGGCATTTTAATGAACTTCTGTGGGATATATATCTAGGAGTGGGGTTGTTGACAATAGGGTCTACAGGTTGTAAACTCTTACGGGGTGAACTTTTCCACAGTGGTTGTACAGCTGTGCACTGCTCCAAGCACCAATTCATTAGAGATCTACTTTTCAAAGCAACGATATTCAGAAGTGGCAGACATTTGAATGATTGCCACCCTGGTATGTTTGCAATGGTATCTCAATATGAGTTGCATCTGTCTTTCATGGATAAATAACGAGGTCGATGTTGGGAGCAATGCTACATAATTCTAGGGAAAAATCATTTGGTTAGCCTAGTTCTCTTGCTTACAGCCAAGCTACAGAATAACTCCAGTTTGGCCTCCAGTCACAACTGAGACTTCAGTGATCCAGTGATGCTGTGATTCTCCAGGACAAGAAACATCCTTGTTAACATCTTGTTTACCCGAGATGTACTGAACTCTCTGCAAGCCTTTTGTTACACCTTGTTTATCCCAATGTGAACTACTGAACTCTCTGCAAGTCATTTGTTACGAGGTACTGAATAAAAGGTGTGGTAAGCTGGGGGCT